AGAAGGCAGTAAAAGGCAGGGAGAGCTGAAAAGGAGCTGAAGATAAGTAGGAAAGTCTGGCTGCAAGAGAGATGAAAGACAGATTCGTGTTTTGTTTTCTTTTCTCTGTTTGGTTCACTCTGCTGTCTGTAAGCTGAACTGTTGGCGGCTCTCTGTGATGCTGCTATAAATCCCTCGCAACCCACCCTGTGACCCCATGTTGTCTGGAGTTTACATGTTCAAATTTAAAACTTCATTTTCCATTTCACAGAAAAGGGCAATAGCAGAGGGAGATGTGTGTTATCACAAAAAAAAAAAAAATCTGCTTGACCTTGCTGTACTGAGACAAACTCATCAGCTGTTGGCAGGAGATTTCTTTTATGCAAACATGTAGCTGTACCCACAGGCCACCATGTATGACAAATACAATTGGCTCATAAACAAATCATTACCTTAAACAGACACGCAAAGTTATCTATCATGCTTTCTGTCTCACATACATGCACATGTGCACAAATTTTAACACACATTTCCCCAGTCATCCACAGTTAAAGATGGACGTCCTGTGTTAATCTTCCTAAATTAACAGATAATTAAAAAACACCAAAGACCTGACCAGGATGTTCAGAAACCTAAGACCTGTTACCTCACTGCACGTATCAAACACTCAAATTAATTAGGGTTGCATCTGGATTTGAAAATATATCTTTGTGAACAGTGAGCTGATCCTGGACCTGTGACCCATACCCAGAGGGGAGCTGATGGATGGGATGACTGGTAGACCACTTGGCCAAACTTGAAAGCCCTCTGGACCCTGGTGAGTCTGTTGTCACAGCTCTGAACACTCTGCTTTAATCAATTTGGATGTACAGTATGAGTGGCTGTGCATCTCTATGTGAATATCCCCAAAGACGGGATATAGAGAGATCCTTTTGATCTGATTTGTGGCAATGCAAATGAGGCATCTGGGGGTGCATCTGGAAAAAACAGAAACTGTTCCCTTCTGCCCTTGATGTGAGTGACTCTGCAATTAATGTTTGACATGCTCTAGACAAGTTAGGTGTAAAGGGAGCACATTATAAGTGTTGATACAGCAAAGTGATAATGTAAAAGATGAAACTTTTTCACAACAGTAGTAAAAGTGCAAACTTGTGCATTGCTATATGAAACTATCTTAGAGAACAAGAAAACTGGGATAAAGAAGTAACATTTTGGAACCATTTTAGCAATCATTATGGTTAGCAGAGTGGGCAATCCACTGAAAATTTCCATCTGGATCTCATCACTGGGAGGCAGTGAGTGGCTCACTTTTACTGCGGTCACAGCACGCACGCACACAATGACTCATCCTCAACAGGAAAGGGAAGTGGTGTGTAGCTAAAACATGTATAACTGTATCTAAAATTAATCGCTGTATCCTAAAAGCACGGTTTACAAGTCAAGCTAGCCGCGCATGGACATTCCTCTGTAGAGCATGGCCCCAACTGATATACAGCATGGCTTCTGACGTATAACATGCAATGACAGAGCCAAAGGTGGCCTCTGGAGGCAGCGGCCCCACACCCCGGCTTAAAGCTTGGCTACCCCACTTGTCACCCCACATAGCAATGTATTGGTGATTGCATTTTTCTTTCCCTTTTTGCTCTTGTGAGGAGCAATTTCTCCACTGCTGCAGCTCCACTGAGGACACTTGTATAAGAGAGCACTCAACTAATTGTACTTTCCCTCCCCCCCTACCCACTGTGCATTCAAATCACCACTTTAGACTAAAGGGAGATCAAACACAGGCCGTTTTCATACAGAGATCAGGGCAAACTGCTGTTGTGTTGCTCCTTGTTCAAGGTGGCTTTTTTTGATTTACTCTGAACTCCAGCAAACCGCCGCTGCTGTGTTGGTTTTACACAGCCGTCAGAATCCCGTGATGCTTATCATGACGTACTTGGCAGCTAATGGATTTTTATTTTGAAAACAAAACAAACGGGCCGTCTCATTTTGTTTGATATCTGTATAAATAGAAATCGTGAATTAAAGTACTACATGCACCCAACTGCAGGTGTGTGTGTCTGTTTAAGGGCAGGGCTGCAAACACAAACATACATACACATGAGGTGCAGAGCTGAGACGGCACAGCGGAACAGGCAGAAGCGTCAAATATGTGCAAGTTATTTTTGCTGCAAAACAGCAGGAACTTTTTGGCGCACCAGGTACTGAGGGTCGGGAGGCGTTGGTTTGTTGTGTTATTCTTTGCTTCATGTCGTGGTCATCAGAAAGTGTCGGTATGTGAATGTGAACAGCAGAAATTTAAATAAGTGTTGTGAATATTGTGACAGGATTATGATTCAGCAGGTTGAGCATCTCCTCACATTTAAACATTTAAATCAACAAATTATTTCAAATCAATTTATGCCTGGATTCTGCCTGCAAATGTCACTGAAAAAAAAATTAAAAGCATTTTCAATAAATAATGAATGCTTCTAACCTTTGTGGGGGAAAAGGACCTGCCCAGGGAGGAGGGGAGATCTAATTAGTTTCCTCTGGAGGGGTCTGTAAACAGTGATGCTAAAATCTGCATGATGAAAGAAGGAACAGGAACAGAGGAGTCAAACTCCAAAGAGCAGATAATCAAATAGAAGCTACAGAAGTGTTATAATAGTTGATAAATGAACTGGCTGTTTCTCTCTTACTAAATGTACAACCACAAACAATCAGGGACTTGTTTTAGACACACATTTTGGTCACACGCAGAAAAAGCTGAATAAGATACTAATTTCTGGTACACAAGTGCTTCATTCAGGGAAAGGATTGAAAAGTGAGATATCCCTCCAATTGTCATTTCAGTTTTCTGTGCAAGTTCTCCCTCCAGCAAAATGACCCCTACCTTTATTCTTATTAAACATGATGGGAGTAGTGCTCAGATTGTTTAATTAAGTAAAAATAGAAAAGTATTAGCAGCAAAAGATAAGGTACCAAAAGTAAAGATACTCATTATGTAAAATTGGACATTTCACATGAATGTATATCTTATTATTAGTTTTTAGTTTTTAATACTGACGCATTATTAGCTTAATTTAAGTTAATGTTGCAGCTGGTAAAGGTGGAGCTGATTTTAACTACCTTATATGCTCATAAGGCAAATTACAGCTGGGTAGCTTGTGAATTTCCCACCAAGGATCAATAAAGTGTTATGATTATTCTGCATTTTGTTAAGTTCATCTGACTTTGAAAAGTAACTATTGTGGCAACTAAAGTTATCATATAAATTTAGTGGAATAAAAAATATAATATTTGCCTCTAAAATGTAGAAAAGTCAAAGTATGAAATAATAGAAATACACAGATATCTCAAAATTGTACTGAAGGCTACAGTATGTAAATTAAGGTGACACGAGCATGAAACTCCAACTCAACCCACTCTGCGCTGCCCAGCGCTCCCTCTCCCTGCTCCACTGTGCTCTACTACTATCCGCCATGCTCTGCTCAGCTCTTCAGGTATTTGTCATTGGGAAATTACAATAAATGAGAAAGCAACAAAACTTACTGATCAAACAGGAATAATTGAAAATCTCTGATTGCTTTATGAGGTCAGTCCCGCTCAAAACCTTTACAAGCTAATATCTCTTTGCTGCATTTTGGAACATATTTCTGCAACAGAAATAGTTTAAGTACAGCACTTGAGTAAAGTGTTTAGTTTCTTTCCACCACTCCACTGCTGTTAGGAACGCTCTGGTAGGGAGGTGAGCGAGTAAAAAAATGACGGACCCAGGTAGCTGACTTCAGTGCAAGAAGTGCTCTATTTATTTACAGTGACAATAAATATGTGTACAACCAGGTGAAGGAATATGGAGCAGAACCAGGTGTCGAGTGGCAGACATGGAAAACATACAGTCAGTGATGAGATGATAAGGAGGAGGCCGGGCTGCGGACGCTAGGATTCACTCCTGGACTGGTCGTGGTGGTTGGTTGCTGAGGGGACAAAGTCACAGAAACAGTTAATGGGAGACTGTGCATCGACCTGCGTGGTGGAGTGATGTGGAGTAGTGGAGGTCCGTGGTCCGGAGGAGCGATAGCGGCTGGGAAGATAAGACACGGGGCACAAGGCAGGAACGGAGCTGGGATGAAGAGCGTGAGCAAATACATATA